GGGGCTGCTGCTGCCCCGCCAGGCTGGGCACCAAGAAGGGCAGAACCATCACTGAGGGGAAAAACAATACCAGCCCCCCCGCTAAGAAAACCCACCTGAAATGGTATGAAAGAGAAGACGGCAACAATGGCAAGTGTTGAAATAAAAGAATAAACCCAGCCACTGACCCCATTCAATGAGAGTGAGAAGTTTCAGCCATCTCCAAAGGCCACCTGTCCTGCAGGGGCTTGTCTGCTTTCCTCCCGAGCACCCCCCTGCTGTAAGGAGATGTTTCCTTATTTTTACTGGTTGGGAATTGCAGAAGGCTGATCAGGAATTTGATTGTTTTGTTTGTTTGTTTCCCTTTTTTTTTTTTTCTTTCATTTGCTTGTTGCTTTTTGGTTGGGGAGGGGGGCACACTGCTTAGTTTTGTTTCTTTTTTTCTTTTTTTACTATTGAAACAGTAAAATGTTTAAAATCTACTCTAAAGCTTCAAGCTGCCATCAGTGCTGGAATTGAAGGTGTATTTTTTGAAGCCACAAAAGACTGTGACACAGTCAAGGAACTTTTTCACTATTACTCGTTTCCTCCCTCACCGCCTTCCATTTCTTTCTTTTTTAAGAACATCACAAGACTGATATATTTTTAATACAAACAAAGACACAAAGACACACATTCAGTGACAGAGGCTGGAGCATGTAGCATCTCAAATCACCTGCCTGGGCTAAGAAAAAAAAAGGAGGAAAAAAAAAAAGCTCCAAACCCCCAACCCTCGAATATAATACGTATCATGTATATTTTGACTATGGCATTTCTCTTTGTATAATTAACTTTGAGCTTGTGGTACTGCAGGGAGAGAAAATGATGTTCATTTACAACTGATAAAGAAATAAATGGCTACCCAGAAACAGCCTGCCCTGGCGGGGAGTGAGTGAGGGGGCCAGGGAAAGCGGTGCTGGCTCCTTGGGATGGTGGTGGGTTTGCTGGGTGGTGCTTCTGCTTGGAGGTGGAAAGGAATTCAGGAAAACCTGGATGGTGTGCCTGTATGTTCCCAGCACCATCGTGCCCCGAGCTGTGGCGCGGCTGCCGCTCCACTCGTTTGCTGCCCTGGTTTTCACAGCACCTGCACCTTCCTGGTGGTCTTGAGGCCAATGAAAGGTATGGGCTTAAAAACTGCCACCCACATCAGGACTCCTGTAGCATCTTCAGTACCTTTTAGGAACACCAGACAGACAAAAAGGAATCCTTTTCATTTGAAGTGCATTTCTTTTTAAGGAAAAAAAACCACAACAAAACAAACCAAAATCGAAACGACGAACAAAACACCACAAGAGTATGTCATGAATTACATCAATGGCTGCAAATTGAAATGTTGGGTTGGTAATAAAAAGAAATAAAACTATACCTATATCTATATAAACAGTGCTATCTAGAAACATATTTCTTAATTGAGGGTCCTGGAAGAGGATGTTAAAAACATACTCTTTGAAAAGTGTTTTAAAGATTAAGATAGTTTATTGTATCAAGAAACAGGTGCTGTAAAGGGAAAGATTTTCTTCATAAAGTTGCCTACAATAAGCCAAACCTTGGGAAGTGGTAAGTAAGAGAGGGGGCTGCTGAAAGGTCCGTCCTTGCCTGCTGCAGTTCTTCAGGCTGCCCTGGGAGGCAGGCAGGAGGTGGCAGGAGGTTAGTAAAAAAGTGATGGGAACAAGGTTGTCACTGACAAAAAAGTGATATGACATTATACCAGATAATTAAATGAGCATAATGCTGGTCCTTAACACACAGATGAAGTATTTGTTTTCATACAAAATGTTTATCAGATATCTATAGATGTGTATACACAGAAGGCAGAGAAGAAGGAACCTTCTCAGAGGAGCAGCAGGAACTTTGCTGATGTGAGCCCTCTGTGAGTGAAAGCTGTTGGGTTTAAAGCCAATAAGCACCTGACCTCCTGCCTCCTGACTCTCCCTTCACCTTTGGGAAAGGGCCTGAAAAGGACTAGCAAGCAACCCCAAGGCCAGGCTCCTGCCAAGCTTGCCTGTCCTTTTGGCCTCTGGCCATGCCAACAGCCATCAGGTCAGCTGCTGCTGCAGCCAGCCACCCCTACTGCTGCCCACCAGCACAGGACCCCAGAGCGCACAGGTGATGCTGAAAGAAAACTTACAAAAGCCCCCAAAATGCTCTCTGTGGGGGTTTGAAGTTCAGCTCTCATGGGGGGAAGGGGTTATCATCATTGCTAATTTGGACGTGGGCTGTTGAGCTCTTATTCTACCCATGGCACCCCACCCACCCCTGGGCACCACCTGGCCAGGGGAGCTGCCCTGCTGTCCCTGTTGCTTGTGCTGTATCCACCACCTGCAGGTCATCCACTTCCTTCTTCAAAAGACCTTGGGGAGGGGTCTTGGGGGAGGACTGGCTTCTGCCAGTGCCAGCTGCATGGGGACCTCGGTGCCCCCCCATGCATGAGGACAATCAGTGCCAGGCTAACACCCATGGAGTGTTTCTTTTATTTTTGTTTTCTGCTCCACTAAAAAACATGAAAGCTGGGGAAAAAAAACTCCAACAAAAAACAACCAACAAAGAAAAATAAACCACAACGAAACAACAAACAAAACCAAAACAAACAAGTTTGGTGCCTTGGGGGATTGGTTGGTTGGTTGGTTGATTGATTCCTGAGGCTTTATGTTTTATTTTGGTTCTAGTTATCTGCTTGCTCCTGTTTTCCTTTGGGCAGGTGCCTGGACTTGGTTGCACTGGCTCTGGCTGGTTTGCCCCCTGTCTCCTCCCCAGCCCTCTGGTTCTGTACTCCTGGGAAGATCCCGCAGCACTTGCCCACAGCTGGCTGACAGGAGGTTTTGCTGGTATTTTTGTTGGCACTGCTCCGTTCCCGTTGTCTTTCCACAGCAAAGGGGCGGCTGGTGCAGCCCACAGCTGTGTAGGAGCCAGGCTGGGAAGACCCCTCAGGGCCCTGCTGGAGCACCTGCAGGGAGGCCATGCAGCACATTGCTCCTCGGGGCAGCCAGAGCTCAGCAAAGTCCACTGGCCTGGCCACAGAAAGGCCACTGTCCCACTGGGCCGGGCACAGTCCCCTCTGCCTGCAGTGCCCACTGCCTCTGCCTGCAGTGAAGGGGCTGAGGGGAGTTTGTGAGGAAGATTTCTGGGGCTGGGGCGGGAGGGGTGTGACCCTTTGGGGCTGGCCCACAGCCATGGCTGCATGGAAGCATCCTGGTCCAGCTAGGGAGTGGTGGCAGCCCTGCCCTGGTGTAGGAGCCTGCACCAACAGGAGCAGCTGCTGCTGAGCCCTGGCCACGAGCTGAAAAGCACTTGTCACCAAGAATAACCTTTGGAGTATTTTTTTGGGGAAAAAAAAGTTTTTAATGACCACTGTGATCTGTGTGCATGTGCCAGTGGCAGCCAGCTCATTAATGATGGAGCTATGTGTGCCAGTCCTGCTTAGTGCCTAGCAGAGAAGACAGCTCCCAACTTGTCTCCACAGGGGGGGATTGAGGACGTCCCGATATTTAAATGAGCTGTTTAAAAATTTTATATCATTAACATCGTGCATTTACCCACTCCACACACGTGCATGTCTGTCTTTTCTTGGCACAGGGGCATCTCTGCTTTGCCTGGCAGCAAGTGGTGGTGCAGAGACCAGCACCCCAGGCACATGGGGCCATCCTGCCCCCTGCTGCCAGTAGCATAAACCCTCAACACATAGAATCAGATTCATAGAATGTCTTGAGTTGGAAGGGACATACAAAGGTCATCACCCCCCCTACAATAAGCAGGACATCTCCAACTAGACGGATTGCTCAAAGCCCCATCAAGCCTGACTTTGAATGTCTCCAGGGATGGGGCCTCCACCACCTCTCTAGGCAGCCCATTGCAGTGATCCACCACCCTCATATAAACAACTTTTTCCTAACATCTAACCTAAATCTACCCTTCTTTAGCTTAAAACCATTATCCCTTGTCCTGTCATTACATGCTCTTGTGAACAGTTCTTCCCCAGCCTTCTTGCAGGCCCCTTTCAGGTATTGGAAGGTTTCTATAAGAAGCAGCTCCACATGAGCTGCCAGTGTGTGCTGGAGCCCAGAGAGCCAAACACATTCTGGGCTGCATCAAAAGAAATGTGGTCAGCAGGGTCAGGGAGGTGTTTCTGCCCCTCTGCTCTGCTCTGGTGAGACCACACCTAGAATACTGTGTGCAGTTCTGGTGCCCTCAGCACTGGAAAGACATAAAGCTGTTGGAGAGGGTCCAGAGAAGGGCTACAAAGATGATCAAAGGGCTGGAGCACCTCTGCTATGAAGACAGGCTGGGAATGTTGGGGCTATTCAGCCTGGAGAACAAAAGGCTCCAGGGAGACCTTACAGCAGCCTTCCAGTACCTGAAGGGGCTACAGGAAAGCTGGGGAGGGGCTTTTCATCAGAGGAGACAGTGGTAGGACAAGGGTTAATGGTTTTAAACTGAGAGAGGGGAGATTTAGTTTAGACCTCAGGAAGAAATTCTTCATTAGGGTGGTAAGCTACTGGGTTGTTGTTTTTTTTCCCTTCTTGTTTTATTCACAAAGGCATGGAAAACAACTGATTACTATCTTTGTCATAAGAGCATTTTTTATGTGGAAAAGCCCTTCAGGGTCTCACTTTCTTCTTTTCTAGCATCTGAGCAGTCATTTCTGCTGGACTGCTGCCTGCTGGGTCTCACGTTGTGCTTGTGCATTCAGGCCAGGTGCCTCATGGCAGTTCATCACATGCTTCTCTCTTGACTCTCTTGACAAACTTACCCTCTTGACTTGGACTATTTCTACAACCTATCAAGCATTCTGGTCCTCCCCTTCATAGGTGCTCACAGCTCCTCCCATTCGGGTATCACCAGCAATTTCCAAATGCTGATGATGAAAATCCACAATAGACCTGGCCCCTGGACAGGCACTGGGAAGACTTCCCCAGGGAGCTCTGGCTTGGACCCTGAGCTCTATGCATTGCTAAATAGGTTGTGTTTCCTCAGCTCACTTATGAGAATGTCTTCTGGGACAGTGCCAGAAGCCTTACCAAAGTCAAGACATATCACATCTACTGCTGACCCTCTGAGCCATGAGGCCAGTTATCCTGTCAAAGAATGGAATCAAATTAGTTTGATACAATTTGTCCTCAGCAGAACATCAACAAATCCATTCCACCTTTTTTTTTTTTTTTTTTTTTTTAAATAAATGTATAAAACTGTCTCAGGGATTAGAGAATAACTGGTCAGTAGGTTGCCCTTCTAAGTTTTCACAAAGGGATATCAGGACATCAGGTCTATAGTTCTCTAGGTTTTTCTTAATTTCTAGTTAGGTGACATTGCCTTAAATCCCCTGGAATCTCACATGCAGCCTATATTCCTCCACCACCAATCCCATGTTTCGTATTTTACCTTCTCATGCCTCAGGATGTAGAAGAGCTCTTGATCCCCTGTATTTGCCTCTACTTAAGTTCCTTTGCAGAAGGGAGTTTCTTATCAGAACTTTGATGCCAGCTCTTTTATAAATTCTCAGATCTCTTTAATCCTTTAGGTTGTCTCTTCATAGGGCCTGCTCCCCAGAATTCTGAATCGATTGATACTTGGTCTTTCATTTTTTGGAGTCTAAGTACTTTGGTATCACTCATTTTACAAAAGTCTGGTATTCAATTGCTTGCTACAAGCATCTGAAAATCTGTAACAGCTCAAGAAATGCAAAAATTCATGTTCACACTGGTTTGCAGACGAGCAGATCCAACTTCAGCCTTGTTCATATACCTTTGCCTGCTACAACCTGGCAGCTTATATGAGAACATCCAAGTCACTTCAGGAACAGCTCCATCTCTGCAGCCAAATACTGCTCCAACTCTTTTCTGACATGGTGAAGTCAGCAGGGATTACCTGAGTGACCCCAGCCAAAATCATGACTGAGTGAGATAGCAGTGGTACTTTGTGCTATGCTCTGAGCAACTTGATCTAGTTGTAGATATCCCTGCTCACTGCAGAGTAGATGACCTTTAAAGGTTCCCTCCAACCAAAACTATTCTATGATTCCATCAAATCACCTGCACTCCAGATCCCAGATGTTGCACTGAGGAGCTACTCTGAGCTCCAGTCTAAGGCAACTGAGTTGTGAATTGTATGCAGGAGAGCTGGGTCCCCTCTGACTGCTGGCACCAGAGAGGAGACAACATCAACCTCTGGGAGTCACAAACTTCTGCCTCTTTCATTACCCAGCACACACCCCCCTGCAGCACCACGCAGGTCTGCCCTAGGCAGGGAGCAGAAAGCCACCCCACTACCTTGTCCTCAAGGGGATGACAACTGGTTCAGGATGCAGTGAGGCCACAGCTCCTCTGCCTGGGCTGAGAGCCAGAAGACCCCCAGCTCAGTCCCCACGTGCTGGAAGAAAACACAGGATAGGACAAACATTTATTTGTGCTTTGGTGGGAGGTGGAGATCTAGTTTTGTGCTACAACAGGTAACACACAGCTGCTGGTGTTTTCTGCATGGAAGCTGGACACCTCCTGGTGTGCATGGGCAAGGGCACCTTCCAACAAGGAAACAACCACTGAAATCAGTAACCAGGCCCTTGGCTGCAGGATGGCAGAAAACATCCTTGTTTCCTAAAGCAGTCAGCCTCAGGTTTTCTGGCAAACACTCCATACAAAACACTTGCTGTTATATTCCTAGTTCCTGAGGTGGTGGTTTTTTTTCTTAACACACTCTGTTTTCAAAGTGTTTTCCAAAGTAAGGAGCACCACTTCTGCAGACCCTGTTGTCCAACTTCCTATCAGCTTTTGGAGGGTTGCCAAGTTATTTTGCCTGAAATGGCTTGCAAGGGCTGACTGCTGAGAAGTCAGAAAGTTGGCATTCTGCATGTGGGTTGTGTTAGTTATGTCAAAGATAAGGGGGAAAGAGCCAGGGGAGGAGGAGATGTCTTCTAGCAGTATCACTGTTGGAAGCAGAGGCAGAAGCAAGCTCTTTGTAGCTCTTTTGACTTGCTTACAGAATGACTGCACCACCAGGGAAGAGGGTTAAGCCCTCTCAGAGCACCTTATGTTCACCCCAGAAAGAAGCAGCATAGCTGAAGAGTAGTTGGTTGTTTGTTGTTTTTTTAAAAGAAGTATTTTCCTATGTTTAATTTAGTCTTGCAGAACTCCAGAGATGACAACTACTGCATATCCCTTAGCCCCAAAACATGTTACCTTGGTTATACAAGAAATGTACCTCAATTTGTCAGTTTATTCTTGATAAATCCACACTGGCTGTCACTCTTGCCTACACATGTTCCTTAAAGTTTGCAGTACTTTCATCATTTCACTTGCCTCTAGAGACAACAGTCTGAGCAGCCCTCCCCATGGTGACCAGCAAACAATCCAGCCTGTGACTACCATAAAAGCAGAAAAACCTTCCTTTGGGACTGTGATTTCCTCCCCTCCAATATGCAGTGAGCCAGCCTCTGATCAATTGCAAGGGATTTACGTGCAACCCAGGGAAATGAAATAGACATGGAAAGACTGGTGGTGTCTGCTTGATGGGAATGATGTGTGGCCTCCACTGTCACAGATATGGTTGTGTATCCTCTGATGAATGCCACCCCCCTACAGCCTAGGAAAAAAGTATGTTTTAGAGCAGCTATAGCTTCCCAGGATAGCTTGTTACTTGTCATCCTTAAGTATTAAAAGGTTTTGGACAACACCTTGAAGAAAGTATTTCAGGCTCCCATGTAGTGAAGCCTGACCTGCAAAAACAAAGTATGAAGGCTCCCAGGTGAAAGGGGATGACATGAAATGCATGTCTTCCATTCCTCCTTTAGGGAGACTGCTAGGAGATGCCACTTGGCTGTGGGACCAACCCTCAGAGGTCACCTCTGCACTCTCAGTGAAGCTTCACAGCCTTTCAAATCAGCCTGGGCAGATCCAGAAGCAGTCATCACACCACTGAGAAGAACACTGGGGCACGTGTCAATTCAACTTGGAGGCTTAGAAACCAGAGAGCAATGTCCAAGGCACTCAGATCCCAACCAAAGACTGACACGTGACTCTAGATCAGGAAAGTCCCCTTCCCTCTCCTGTGGCACTGCACAGAAGTAACAAAACAGTAAGTGGAAGAGAAGTTCTGGATATCAAGATTCAACAAAAAACCACCACAAGACACTGGAGCAAAAAGTTATCTATTTTATTACAAAACCAAAACCAAACAAGATGCCTTTCATTCTAAAAAACGATGCCATAGGAAGAAATGTGCTGGAGCAGGGTAAGTTCAACATAAATTCAGGCCCTGGGAGGTGGTGCCTCCACATGGATGAATCCCACCATAATGCAGTTCCCTTCAACACATCACACCCTTGGAGACGCAGGAAGAAAGGGAAGATTTTTGCTTCTGGTGGGAAGAGCAGATGACTTGCACTGTGAAGCCTTGGTTCCCTTCTCTGTCCCAGCTGTTTTCAGCTGTCATTCAAAGTAGAGCTGGAGAAGCCCAGGAGGACCTGAAGGATGAGGAGAGGCATGCCCAGGGTCTGCTTCCAGCCACAACACCGATACACCCCCTGTCCCAGCTTCAGTAGGATGCTTCTGAGGCAAGGCAGATAAGGACATTTAGCCTGACAGCCAGGTGGACTGGCCAGTTATCTGGCAATAAAAGCAACCATGGGAAGAGGGGAGCTGAGGCACTGCTCCATTCTGCCAAGTACAGACCATCTGGACAACTCATAGCACAAGCTGTATGAACAAAGACCAATACTGTCTGCATGATATTACAACACACAACCCCCAAATAAGCAGCATGGACATTACACAGTCATGCTGGTTGGGTCTTGTATGTCAGTGTACAAGTGTTGCCAGAAGCTGCCCAGAGGACTGTGCAAACCCAGCAAAAGCCAGGATGCTGGAACTTGTACTTCTCCTATGCAAGTTAAGAGGAAAGCATATATAATGCTTTGGACCCAACCCATCCATAACATCAGCTCTAATATAGCAACATGAATACCCACCAGTACCAAAGCTACCATCAACCACCACCCCATGTTCAGCTTCCTTGAAGAACTGACCTAATTTTAATTGTCAACTACATGTGAAGGACAGGCCTTTTGGAGGGGAAGGACACCAGGATGAGAAAGAGGAGGTCTGCAGAAGGATTTACATGGCAGGCAAGAGCATTGGCTGGCTGGTGTACTGACATTTCCAGAAGAAAAGATGCAGTGACTTGCAAGCAGCTCTGTACTCCACCTGCAATCCTATGGGATGTGACCTGGCCCCAGCAGCTGGGTGACAGAACTCCTACAGGCACCCAATTAGCTATTTCTGCTGGATGCAACTATACATTAAAAAAAACCAAACCAAAACAAAAAATAACAAAAAACAACAAACAAAACCCCACAGTAAACAACAAACACCAACCCAGCAGCCAGACCTTTTAATTCCTAAAATTAGCATATTAAAAAAGGAGAGGGTTGGTTTTTTTTCTATACAGCTGGATTCATTCTTTACTCCTATAATAGGATTACTGAGTGATAGGGACATTTCTAACTATACACTACACCAAATAATTTCACCATTATGTGCCCTGGGCATTTAAAAAGGGAAGATGCAATCAAGAAGATGGGAGCTTGCAGGCCAAAAAAAGCATATGCATTGTATGTGAGAAACCATGAAGATCCAGCAGGATGATTTGGTCTTGCTAAAGAGACAACTTATTTATATTGCAGTGGTGCTGTGATGTATACTTCAGAGATCACTAGAGATGTTTTCAACCATGCCAAATGCTTTCATTAGCTCCAATCTACTCCCCAGGGAAAGAATTATTACTAATCTCAAACAGTTACTTATAGAAAGATTTTGTGGTTTGTTTTTTCTTTTTTTAAAAAAAACAAAACAACTTTTGATTTTGTCAACAAGGCACTAACTTAGTGCATCAGGCCACTTCTGCTATGATGTGTTTATCTCATGCTATCATCATGATGACATGCCACAGAGTGAAGACACTGCATTGCAATATCTTGAACCAAAGCCACAAAGCCTCAAGTGACAAGCCCAGTCTCTACAGTAACACAGTATTATCACAAGCAGTTGTTGGTGTGATCTCAGCATGGCAGGTCATTATCTCCAACTACAGGCTCTTGGTCCGGAGGTGAGTGGCACAAGGATCATCAGATCTGAAGTGAGAGGCTGCTCAGAACATTTCCTATAAGCAGACAAGTGCTGCCAGTGTTTGGAAGTGCACAAAGTGAAATAGTGTCCCATCACACTCTGCCAAGCTTTAGGATTGCTGGTATGAGTGTCCCTGCTCTACTGCTGACTTTACAGCTGAATCTGAGACTAAGGAACAACCCTGGAAAACAGATGGTAGTTGAAACAGCCTTTGTGGCCAAGAGACAAGGCTCCTCAATCTTCATGGTAACAGTGAAACAGTGGGAGTGGATTAGTCAGGCACACCATTGTGCAAGAGAGGACCTTGGGATTCACAACTACCAAAAATAGGAATAGTCATTGCAGAGACCTTCATCAGTGAGCATGGCCCAAGCAGTAGTGCTGAAGCATGAGTAAACCAGACTCTTGGGAACCAGCAGCATGATTGTGCCTTTCTGCAACTGACAAATACACTCCTTGCTCTTCAGCAAAGCAACAGGTAGGCTGATGCTGCTTTCAGCAGGCTTCTCAATATTTTTATTGTTGTACAACATATAGATGAAAATTTTGCTAGAGAGGAAGATGCAAGACTTCATCCCACTGACTCTACTGGGCCTGTGGCTCCCACATCCTTCCTACAGCATTAGATTCCCGAGTCATGGCACACCTTTGCTAAGCAGGTCTTCTGAATAGTAATGCACTTGCAACTTACTTCTGCCCAACTTGCAACAGGGGCAGAAACTACTTTTTCACGACCTTAATACAACTCTTCCATCCCTACTTTTAGCAGCTTTGCCGTGCACATGTACTTACATGAAACTTGTGCTCTCCCCAAAGCCCAGTTGCCCATGAGTTGCACAGGGTTTTAGAATAAGAAAAGAAGGGGTTCAGTCACTCCTAAGAAGCATTTGGTATCTGAGGCACTGTGTGCACATCTGCAAGCACAAGTCATGCTGACAGACCTGCATGGGGATACTAAGGTGTCCAACTGAACAATGATTTGGTGGCAGAAATTATTGCATTACTGTAATCCATTAAATGCAGTGTCCCTCTAATGCAAACAGCCTTTAAAAGCAAAGGGAAGAACAGAACAGTGACTCCAACCCCTGTACAAGACAACTGTACAATTTACATACATAATTATATACAGTATATAAAATTCTCTTTCTGAGTCCCAGCGAACTCAACTTTGTCATCAGTAGCTGTTCCAATTTTAAAGTCATTCTTCTGCTTGCCCCACTCTCCAAAGTATTAGATAATGGCATTGAAAAGCAATTACAACCAAACCCAAACCAATTATTAGAAAGTGCAAACGTTCTGGGTGCCACTTGTGCCATGCTGGATGTTGCTGGTGCTGCATGCTTGCTCCCAAGCAGCCAGGTGTCTGTTCTTCTGTCGCTGGATCTTCTTCCCTTTGGATTGGCTCCTGCCTTCCCTTCCCTACTTCTGCTGCTACACCAGGCGACCTACTGAAAGGGTGGGGTGGGCAGTGAGGGAAAAAAGAAACAAAAGCAGGGAAAGTGAGTTAAAAACAAATTAGAACCAAAAGGCTGATGCAGATACAGTACTGAGGGCAAACAACTGCTCTTCTGCCTGCCGCAGTCGATGCAGAAGCCTGGAAGGAGGCAGGCATGCAGGGCAAGTCACTGCTCCCCACCTCTGCACAGCACAGTGCAGCTGTCTCCCTGCTCAGCGGTTCTTGGACACCTGCCTGCACCAGGCACCCTGAAGCCTACCAAGATGCTGAATGTGCAGTGGGGATACAGTGTACTTGGAGCTGGGGGGTGCCAGGACCCTGGTGAGTTAGTGTGGATGGCACACAGGGGCTGCCCAGCACACCCCCGTGCTTGTTTCTTCAGAAAGCTTTTGTTAAGCCCCTTGTCAAAGGTTCTTAGAGCATCAAAGCTCTTGGGGATCAGAGCAAGAGCTCTGTGGATTAATTACAGGTGCAAACATGGTGAAGAGAAGGCAGAAGTATGGAATCTGTTTTCAGAAAGGAGAAAGGTTGCCATATATAGGCCTCACTGGGATCAGTACTAATCAACATGCCCTGCCATGAGAGGTCAATACTGCAAATTGCAAAATTATTCCAGATAGTCATACTTGAAACTGTCTGCACAGCTCTACAGTCAGACCTTGCAGTGTTGAGTGACCAGCTCAAAAACCAGCACATTGACTGTGATGTCTACACATGCAATACAGCACCTGAGTGAGGAGTGGGGGTGACCTGCCTTAAGTACTCCAAGTGACTGTGAGAGGCTGAAGCCACAGTAAACCATTTTCTTAATGCCTCCACTCAGTTTCTAGCAGCAAAAATCAAATACATGCTCAGAACTGAGGGCACACCAGAAAACATCACTATAACAATATATAACGCTCCCTTCAGCCCATATCATGAGGATCAGACAAGACACCCAGGAAGACAGGGAGCAAGAATTAAGCTAATACATAGTCTAGGTCTTTTCAACATGGAAAGGAGTCTAACCAGACATGTGGGAGGGCTACAGAATAACAAGAGGTAAGAGAAAGACAAGCAGGGGAGAACTGCTGGCTGTTTCTCACAATTCTCACTCAATAAAACTACGAGGGAGCAGGTCTAAAAGCAAAACAAGTAAGTTTTCCTTTCTGCCTGATGAAAGGGTATGATTCACCACCACAAAATACAGGGGAGAGCAGACCTTCACTGGGACAGAGAAGAGTTTTTGTCAGAAATTGGCCATGTAATGTAAACGCAACAAATCACCTAAATCATTGCTTTCTAGGAGCAGAGAGAATAGGGTAGGAAAGTGTTCACCCCATAGTGCTGAATCCTGTTCTAACTCCTTAGCAATGTACTGCCTGCCCCAGCTGCAGACATGGTGCACTTCAAGGGGATGCAGCAGAGCTGCAGTTGTTATATTCACATCTCTTATGAAAAGTTTTTGTTTCCAGATGTTTCTGTGTGGGTATTTGTGAACACAGTAGAGCAGGGAAGAATGAATTTTGGGACATGTGGTTATCACAGGAAAAAAAAATAAGGAAACAGTTTGACAAGATACTCACTGAAAGGGTTAAGGCCTTGTCTTTTTCCACTGGGGAAACTGCTCAGGCTACCTGTAAAATCCAAGAACCATGTTAAAGGCCATAAATGCCATGACATGCCAAAGGAACTCCCCTGAGTGTGCACACAGCAAGTCCCACCAGCATTCCAAAAGATTCACATGCAAGTCTGACCAATGTGCTTGATATGAGAGATGTTAAATTACTGGTGGTGTAGTCATAAAGTGTCAAGAAGTCCAAAGGGCAAGAAGCAACAGTTTAGAAGGTTAGACTAAACTGCGGAAGGAAAAAGAAGAAAGGAAGGATGTAAGTAGTGCCCTGAAGTTTCCCAAAACAGTTTTTTGCCAAAAGCAAACAAAATAACTTCATGTAGACAGGGGGCGGCCAGAAAAGTGAAGCTGTAGGCAATACAAGTGGTCCAAGTTTACTAAATCTTAAACTGGGGTCAGACAATCAAACAGGTGCCTAAAAATCCACGATCTACACTCACACCCGGCAGAAGGGCAGCGACAGGCAGCAGGGCTGCCAACTGTTGTCATTAGGTACAGGCACACGGACCCTACACCAGATGGAGCTCACGACACGGGCTCTCACCTCAGCAATGATCCTGCTGCTACAACACACTGGATACACCCAGTTCACCGACTAGTGGGGCTCCCCAAAGCATCTCCCACCTTCTGCTAGCTGCTCGGTCGGACTGCAGACGAGGGATCAGCAGGGAACAGGAGATCCTGCTCCCCCCCACCCCGAGG